GAGCACGTTTATGTATAGAAAACTTCAGCCTACTAGAATAGACTTTCAATTTGCCATTTACCTCAGACGCCTAGAAGTTGAAAGCAAATAAACTCAAACTAAGCCAAATCTACGCCAATGATCCAAGAAAAAATCCGCTGTCCAGCTCATAAAATTACGATAAGCAATGATAAAATGTGTGCAAAATTTCATACGCGTTGCTCAACTAGTTTCTGAAATATAAACAAAAAAYCGCAAAAAATCCCTCATCCACTGGATATTTCCTGTTTTCGTACTGAATATTTTGCAATTTACAAAACGCTTGTAAAGTTTGGCYCACCCGGTATATAAARSCCCCACACTAGCKCAAGTTTGGCTTAAATTGAATGCAGTATCAGCGCGAAAAAGTYAATCAACAACCATCCAAGTGCGAATTTTACTASTTCRSACCGTTGACTGCACCAAACGCTTTTTTGCTCAAAAAWTGCCATTTCCTCTAAAAGCGTTGWCATTAGAGCCTTTTACCAAGAGCACCTTTTTGTGCAGAAAACYTTGGCCTTTCAAMAWATACTMTCAAATCGCATTTTGCCCCAGCGGCGTAGAAGTTACGCGCAAACTAACCGAACTAACGCAGATCTACGCCACTGGTACAAGGAAAAATGTCTTTACGCGCATACAGTAGCAATAAGTATCGGAAAAATGTGTGCAAAAGCCAAGACTTTTAGYTCAAYTAATTTGTGAAATCTGGGCAAAAACTGGAAAAAACCTGCAATCAAAACCATCCAAGTGCGAATATTTGCGGATTAATAAAAACCCGAAAAAAATAGGCGAAAACGCGGCAACAGTGCATAGTATCAATTCGCATTGAAAGTTGGGAAACGCAAACCGGCAGGACCAAGGACAAAGGATTTAGGTCCTTTCCCAGGGCCAATGTTGCCAAATCCGCAATCAATAGCAGTGCGGCAACAAGCATCAAACCAGATTTAACCGGTTTTCAACAGGTTAAAACGCGTGGGGCCGTAAAATCGAATCGCTGCCAAATGGATTTCCAGCAGAATCGTTTGCGAAGCCAAAACAAACCAGTCCGGCGTCTTGCTTTGAGGAAAAACGGCGATTTTTCGGCATTTTTCTGCTGTTCCGACCTGAGAAAACCGACAACAACGGGCTGCGTTAATGCGTTTAGTGGGTCGTAAATTAAATGTTTTGGGCTGGGGAGTTGACAGTTATGACTTTTGCTTGGCAGCTGACTGCGCCATTATTTGATTCGAAAGCCATGCGGGCTTGAAGGTTTTATGCGAAGAAAATCAGGCGGGTTTCTTCTAATAGAAAAATTGGCTTTTTAACAGCAAATCAGTGCTATGAACCGGAAAAGAGAACCGTTAAAGGCAGTGACATCACGTGCCACTAACACCAATTACAGAGTTCAGCGCATATTCGGCCCAAAGCCCGGCTGGTTGAGATTGTTCTGGAGCGATTTGGCAACCGGGCACTACCACGTGGCTTTGTCTATAAACATATCGAACGCTCAGCGTCATAACGGTCTTCGATCCGAGCGGGAGAGAGACAACAAGCAAACAATCCGCCACTGTCTCTTTCAGTTGCACGGGCTCTTTGTTTGGACCCAAATTGCGATTGTCGTTCGGACAAAGAGACGGTTAAAGAGCGACAATCTAGCAGGCATTAGCTTTCAGTTGTTCCAAGCCAGAAGGCTATAAATCATCTAGTCAGTTAGTAGGCGAAAGTTTACCAGGCGTTTATGGGTCAATGTTACAATGGCTGCAAGAACACGCCCACTACATGGAGGACGAAAATGAACCAGTTGGCTTTTTTCGGAATTTTCGATGCTCATTTCAGTTCGAAACACCACATTGATATGCAGGTGTAATTTTAGAAGAAGCCGTAGGGAGAGCGGATTCGGAGTATTACCAACCAGGCCTGAAGACGTGACGTCAGTCACAAAGAAGTAGTAATAGGGAGGGGGGACTCGGGCCGTTGACCCTTTAATGTTTACATCGCAATAGGGATGGCCCTGAAGTGCATTGTACTGAGCCGGTGTTGCCGCGTGCTCAATTTTTTTCTTAATTCCAATCTGGATGATCTTGCCAAACAACTATTCCACTAGCGAGAAATTCAGTATGTTGGTTTCGCTTAAACCGAATATAATTCACGCGCGAAAAAGGCAACGGCAAACCATCCAAGTGCGAAAATTGCCCGTGCGAGTTCCTGGGTCTACCTAACGTCTGAAAATAGGGTTTTAGAGCAAAAGTTGCCAATTTCTCCTAAACCTCCAACACTAGCGCTTTTTGCTAAGAGCACTTTTGTGTGGAGAAAACCTTGGGCTTCCAAAATCGACTTTCAAAACGCCATTCTCACCAGTGGCGTAGAAGTACCGGAAAACTAATCGAACAACCCAAATGCCCTAAAAGTTAGGTTTGGAGTGCAAAAATTGCCATTCTCCCTAAAAGGGCTGCCATTAGCGCGTTCCACCAAGAGCACTTTTTTGTGCAGAAAATCTTGACCAATCAAAATGTGCTTTCAAACAGCCTTTTGTCGCAGTGGCGTAGCAGTTTGGGGCAAACTAACCAAACCTAACCCAAATCTTCGCCCCTGGCCCAGAAAAAACTGTAGCTTCACGCTCACAAATTGGCCAAAAGCGTTGGTYAAATGTGTGCAAACATCCACTTGTCCAGCTCAACTAATTTCGGAAATATCRGYGAAACYGCAGAAAAAAKGTTGGCAACCCTGTACCTCCATAACCGGCCATGCGTGAGAACTGCCCCTTGACTTTGGCTCACCCGGTATAACGGTCCATGCTAACGCAAATTTGGCTCAAAACGGCACCAAGATGTCAAAGGAAAACCATCCAAGTGCGAATTTTACTAGCGCAAACCCTTGACGCAACCTGCATTAAAAATGAGGTTTTGAGTGCAAAAAATGCCATTCTCTCTAAAACGGCTGACATTAGGGCGTTCCACCAAGAGCACTTTTTTGTGCAGAAAACCTTGACCAATCAGAAGGTGTTGGCAAATGTGCACAAAAATGTCCATGTGCAGCTAGGCATGAGTCCAAAAGCAGTAAAAGTTGAAACTTTGAGAAAATCTGGCAACGTTCAGCAGAAGAACCATCTATGTGTTGTTATTGTTGTACCGGCATCTTCTAGCCGGCGAAGCAAGCGAGGGCAACGACTCTAGAGGCAATTTACGCGCCAAAACCAGGGGTGTCCCTCTATAAGGGTGGCATTTACAGCCACCCTCCAGATCTCGCTCAGACTCAACTTTCTGAGTTCATTTATCCTAACGATTTTTCTATTTCCTTCACACTCGATCTTCTGAAGATGGTTTGAAGCACGTGAAGCAACTGGATTTTTGACTAGCGGTAAGTTTGTCGGAAGAAATTTCCCATCTCCGTCCCTGCGTGCAGTCCAATGAACTCCCACTCTATGCGCGTTACAACAGGTAAGAAAAGGACGGCGGCAGAGCGAAGAAGGCAAAGTCATCCCAAAGCGATTCAACAACCCCAAGATTTTTGACTCGGTTCATAGACTCTTTCAAGGCCAAACAATGTCGGGTTTTCGGAGGGTTTTTTCTCTTATTTTCGGTCTGAGCGGCCGAGATTGGGCTTCGCTATTAACTGTCTGGTATTTGGAGATTTTAGCAGGTGTTCGTCGGAGTGAAATGCTTTGAATAGGATTTTTCGGTGTTAAACACACACGGGGTGATTGAAAATGGACGGCGATCCTCGGGGGGCTTCCAAGGAGTAGAGATGCGGTTGCCAAAGTTAATAATTTCCATTGGGAACTGAGGAATTGGCGAAAAACTCACTGGGAAAGTGGCAACAGTGCATTGGATCGATGGGAATTGGATTGGGAAAACCGCTGTCACTCTGACATATTTGTCAACAAATCTCTGCCTGAAAGCTGGGTTGCCGTTGTTTCTTCATATTCGTCTATTATCATCAAACTACTTCAGTGAG